TTTGGGGTCCCCCCTGAGGCCAAATTTTGGGGTTCCCCCTCAGAGCTGGGCCGGGCGGTGGCGGCGAGGCAGAAACTGGAGACGCAGCTGACAGAAAACAACATCGTGCAGGAGGTGAGGGAACCCCCAAAAACTGCCCCAAAAATTCCTTAAAACTGCCCCAAAAAAATCCTGAAAATGCCCCAAAAATTCCTCAAAATTGTCCCAAAAAATCCTCCAAAAAAAGCCCAAAATAATCCTCAAAATCACCTCGGAAAATGGTAAAAATATTCCCCAAAACTGCCCCCAAAAGCATCAAAAAAAATCTCCCCAAATTGGCCCAAATATCCTCAAAAAATCTCCCAAAATTGTCCCAAAAAATCCTCAAAAAAATCATCTAAAACTGCCCCAAAAATCCTCAAAAAAATCTTCTAAAATTTCCCTAAATATCTTCAAAAAAATCATCTAAAACTGCCCCAAAAATCCTCAAAAAAATCACCTAAAACTGCCCCAAAAATATTCCAAAAAATCTCCCAAAATTGGCCCAAAAATCCCCTCAAACTGCCCCAAAAATCTCCCAAAATTGGCCCAAAAATCCTCAAAAAATCTCCCAAAATTTCCCTAAAAATGCCTCAAACTGCCCCAAAAATCCACCCAAAAATCTCCCAAAATTGGCTCAAATATCCTCAAAAAAATCTCCCGAAATTGTCCAAAAAATCCTCAAAAAAATCTTCTAAAATTGCCTCAAAAATCTTCCAAAAAATCTCCCAAAATTGGCCCAAATATCCTTGAAAATCCCCCAAAAATCACTCAGAAACACCCCAAAAAATTCCCTAAAAATAACCCAAAAATCTCTCACAAATCCCCCCAAAAATCCCTAAAAAATCCCAAAATTTAAAAGACTCCAAATCTTCCCAAAATTCTTTTTTTCCCCCTCAAAAATCACTTTTTCCCCCCTAAATTCCCAAATTTTCCTTCCAAAATCCTCTTTTTTTCACCCCAAATCCCCTTTTTTTCACCCCAAATCTCTTTTATTCCCAAATCCCATTTTTTCCCTTCCAAAATCCCATTTTTTCCACCCAAAATCCCATTTTTTTCCTTTTCAAATCCAATTTTTTTCCCCTAAACCCCATTTTTTTTCCCCCCAAAATCCCATTTTTTCCCCCAAACCCCAATTTTTAACCCAAAATCCCATTTTTTCTCCCCAAAATCCCATTTTATCCCCTCAAAATCCAATTTTTTTCCCCCAAACCCCAATTTTTTCCCCCAAATCCCCTTTTTTCTCCCCAAATCCCATTTTATCCCCTCAAAATCCCATTTTTTTCCCTTTCAAATCCAATTTTTTTCCCAAAATCCCATTTTTTTTCCCCCAAACCCCATTTTTTTCTCCAAAATCCCATTTTTTTCCCTTTCAAATCCAATTTTTTTCCCCCAAATCCCATTTTTTTCCCCCAAACCCCAATTTTTTCCCCAAAATCCCATTTTTTCCCCCAAATCCCATTTTTTCTCCCCAAACCCCATTTTTTCCCCCCAAAATCCCATTTTTTTTCCCTTTCAAATCCCATTTTTTCCCCCCAAACCCCAATTTTTTTTCCCCAAAATCCCATTTTTTTTCCCCAAAATTCCATTTTTTTCCCCCAAACCCCAATTTTTTTCCCCAAAATCCCATTTTTTTTCCCCCTAAACCCAAATATTTAACCCAAAATCTCATTTTTTCTCCCCCAAACCCCATTTTTTCCCCCAAAATCCCATTTTTCCCCCAAAATCCCATTTTTTCCACCCAAAATCCCATTTTTTCCCCCCAAACCCCAATTTTTTTTCCCCAAAATCCCATTTTTTTTCCCCAAAATTCCATTTTTTTCCCCCAAACCCCAATTTTTTTCCCCAAAATCCCATTTTTTTTCCCCCTAAACCCAAATATTTAACCCAAAATCTCATTTTTTCTCCCCCAAATCCCATTTTTTCCCCCAAAATCCCATTTTTCCCCCAAAATCCCATTTTATCCCCTCATAATCCAATTTTTTTCCCTTTCAAATCCAATTTTTTTTCCCCAAAATCCCATTTTTTTTCCCCCAAATCCCAATTTTTTACCCAAAATCTCATTTTTCCCCCCCAAAATTCTATTTTTCCCCCCCAAATCCCATTTTTTTCCACCCAAAATCCAATTTTTTTTCCCCAAAATCCAATTTTTTTCCCTTTCAAATCCAATTTTTTTCCCCAAAATCCCATTTTTCCCTCCCAAATCCCATTTTTTTCCCTTTCAAATCCCATTTTTTTTCCCCCAAATCCCCTTTTTCCCCCAAAATCTCATTTTTTCCCCCCAAAATCCCAATTTTTTTACCCAAAATCCAATTTTTTCCCCCAAAATCCCGTTTTTTCCACCCAAAATCCCATTTTTTTCCCTTTCAAATCCAATTTTTTTTCCCCAAAATCCCATTTTTTTTCCCCCAAACCCCAATTTTTTACCCAAAATCTCATTTTTCCCCCCCAAAATTCTATTTTTCCCCCCCAAATCCCATTTTTTTCCACCCAAAATCCAATTTTTTCCCCCAAATCCCAATTTTCCCCCCAAAATCCCATTTTTTCCACCCAAAATCCAATTTTTTTCCCCCAAATCCCATTTTTTCTCCCCAAACCCCATTTTTTCCCCCCAAAATCCCATTTTTTTTCTCTTTCAAATCCAATTTTTTTCCCCCAAATCCCATTTTTTTCCCCCCAAACCCCAATTTTTTCCCCAAAATCCCATTTTTTCCCCCCAAATCCCCTTTTTTCCCCCCAAAATCCCATTTTTCTCCCCAAAATCCCAATTTTTTTCCCCAAACCCCAATTTTTTCTCCAAAATCTCTTTTTTTTTCCACCCAAAATCCAATTTTTTTCCCTTTCAAATCCCAATTTTTTTTCCCCAAAATCCCATTTTTTCCCCCCAAACCCCAATTTTTTCCCAAAATCCGGTTTTTTCTCCCCAATTCCCGCAGGAGCTGAACCTTCTGGATGATTCCAACACCATTTTTAAGCTTTTGGGCCCCGTTTTGGTGAAGCAGGAGCTGGAGGAGGCCAAAAACACCGTGGGAAAAAGGCTGGAATACATCTCTGGGGAAATGTGGGTTTGGGGGAAAAAACGGGGAAAACGGGCAAAAAGGGGGGAAAATGGGAAAAATGGGGAAAATGGGGGAAAATGGGGGAAAATGGGGAAAAATGGGGGGGAAAATGGGGAAAATGGGGGAAATGGGGAAAAATGGGGAAAAAAGCAGGGAAAAATGAGAAAAAATGGGAAAAATGGGGAATAAAAGGGGTGAAAAATGGGAGAAAAATGGGGGGAAAATGGGGAAAAATGGGGGAAAATGGGGAAAAAATGGGGGAAAATGGGGAAAAAATGGGGAAAAGGGGAAAAAATGGGGGGAAATGGGGGAAAAATGGGGAAAAATAGGGGGAAAAAAAAGGGGGAAAATGAAATAAAATGGGGAAAAATGGGGAAAAATGGGGAAAAATGGGGGAAAATGGGAAAAAATGGGGAAAAATGGGGAAAAAATGGGGAAAAAATGGGGAAAAATGGGGAAAAGAAAGGGGGAAAACGGGAAAAAATGGGAAAAAATGGGGAAAAAATGGGGAAAAAATGGGGGAAAATGGGGGAAAATGGGGAAAAATGGGGGAAAAATGGGAAAAAATGGGGAAAAAACGGGGGAAAAATGGGGGAAAAATGGGGAAAAATGGGGAAAAATGGGAAATAAAGGGGGAAAAATGGAGGAAAATGGGGGAAAAATGGGGGAAAAATGGGGGGAAATGGGAAAAAACGGGGAAAAATGGGGGAAAATGGGGAAAAAATGAAGGAAAATGGGGAAAAAATGGGGAAAAATGGGGGAAAATGGGAAAAAATGGGGAAAAATGGGGAAAATGGGGAAAAATGGGGAAAAATGGGAAAAAAATGGGGAAAAAATGGGGAAAAATGGGGAAAAAAAGGGAAAAATGGGGAAAAATGGGGAAAAATGGGGAAAAAATGGGGAAAAATGGGAAAAATGGGGAAAAAAAAGGGAAAAATGGGGAAAAAATGGGGAAAAATGGGGGAAAAATGGGGAAAAATGGGGAAAAATGGGGAAAAATGGGAAAAAAAGGGGGAAAAATGGGGGAAAATGGGGAAAAATGGGGGGAAAATGGGGAAAAAATGGGGAAAAATGGGGGAAAAATGGGGGAAAAATGGGGGGAAATGGGAAAAAATGGGAAAAAAAGAGGGAAAAAGGGGTGAGAATCTCTATAAATACCCTAAAAAAAAAACCTAAAAAATTCCCAAAAAATTTCCTATAAATCCTCCCAAAATCTCCAAAAAATCCCTAAAAAATCCCAAAAAATCCCCTAAAAAATCCCTAAAAAAACCCCAAAAAACCCCTAAAAATTCCCAAAAAAACACTAAAAAAATCCCTAAAAAATCCCCAAAAAACCCCCCAAAAAATCCCAAAAAAATCCCTATAAACCTTCTAAAAATCCCAAAAAAATCCCTATACATCCCCTAAATAAAATCCAAAAAGTTCCCAAAAAACCCCAAAAAATCCAAAAAAACCCCAAAAAATCCAAAAAAAATCCCAAAAAATCCCAAAAAAATTCCAAAAAAAATCCAAAAAAAATCCAAAAAAAAATCAATCCAAAAAAAATCAAAAAAAATCCAAAAAAAATCCAAAAAAAATCCAAAAAAAATCCAAAAAAAATCCAAAAAAATCCCCAAAAAATTCCAAAAAAAATTCAAAAAAACCCGAAAAAAATGTCAAAAAAAATCCAAAAAAAACCCAAAAAAAATCAAAAAAAATCCCAAAAATTCCCAAAAAATTCCCAGATTTGTCACCCACCGATAGGATTTGGTCTCCCTTGCGCAGCTCCCCGCTGAGGTCGGCGGGACCCCCGGCCAGGATGAAGGAGATGAAGACCCCAAAAAAACTCCCCAAAAATACCCCAAAAATTCCCTAAAAATACCCAAAAAATTTCCTATAAATCCCCCCAAAAAATTCCTATAAATCCCAAAAAAATCCCTAAAAAATCCCAAAAAATCCCCTAAAAAATCTCTAAAAATTCCCTAAAAATACCCAAAAAATTTCCTATAAATCCCCCCAAAAATTCCTATAAATCCCCAAAAAATCCCTAAAAATCCCAAAAAATTCCCTAAAAAATCCCTAAAAAACCCCCAAAAAATCCAAAAAATCCCCTAAAAAATCCCTAAAAAATCCCAAAAAAAACCCGAAAAAAATCCCAAAAAAATCCCTATAAACCTTCTAAAAATCCCAAAAAAATCCCTATACATCCCCTAAATAAAATCCAAAAAGTTCCCAAAAAACCCCAAAAAATCCAAAAAAAATCCCAAAAAATCCCAAAAAAATTCCAAAAAAAATCCAAAAAAAATCCAAAAAAAAATCAAAAAAATCCAAAAAAAATCAAAAAAAATCCAAAAAAAATCCAAAAAAAATCCAAAAAAAATCCAAAAAAAATCCAAAAAAATCCCAAAAAAATCCCAAAAAAATCCCAAAAAAATCCCAAAAAAATCCCAAAAAAATCCCCAAAAAATCCCAAAAAAATTCCA